CGCTCGGCCTGGCGAGCCGCTGCAGCACGGCGTTGGGGCAGAGCGTGGAGAGCCGAGCCAGCATGATGAACGTCAGCATCTATGACAGGGGAGGAAAGATAAAACGGGCGTTGTGTCGCTGCACCCTCCAGTCCCCAGGATCCTCTCCACTGAAGCTCGTGAGGTCTCTCTCCCCGCGGTGTCGCGCTGTACCCGCCCGCCGGGGCCTGTCCCTGTGCTTGCACGAGGGGCTTTAGCCAGAGCTTTGGCTGCACCAGCATCACGCCAGCTGGCAGCCAAGGCGCAGGAGCTGCCCCGCTGGGCTCTGGGCTGCCTGGGGAGGAGGGCTGACAGCCTTAGAGAAACCCCAGCGCTCACCACAGGGATCGTGCCAACGCTGCGCCACAGCTCAGCAGAGGTAAAGAACACCGTGAAAAGGATGTTGTGCTCCCTGCTCAGCTATGAGGCCATCAACGGGGACAGTGCTGATGCTTTTTTAACGCGGTATCCCTGGCCACACTGAGCAGGTGACAATTTGTAGATATTTTAGACTTTGGTAAATTTCCTATAAGCCACCTACACCAGGGCTGTTTGCAGGCCACCACGGCCACACTAGAGCGAGACAAGGTTCAGAGGAAAGGCTGTGGCAGTGGCAAAGCACAGGGAACGGCGTGGCAGGGGCACCCTGTGCTGTGGTCACCCATCGGCTCAGTTCAAGCCCAGGCTCCCAACAACATCAGTGTCGTCACCACCCTCCAGGTGTGACATTTACCCGAATGTCGTAGTGATCCTTCAGCCCATCCTCCACGTGGTTCAGGTACTCGTAGATGTCCAGTCGGTCAAGGCAGCTTTCCAGCAGCGTGTACATGCACTCAAAAGCAGCTTTCCTCACGTCAAGGCCATCATCCACCGTGTGCTTGAATGGCCCCATTTCTACCTTAAACAAGACAAAAAAGACAGCTGTCACCAAAGAGCAGACAGGGTGACACCTGCACATGCCCTGAGCCGCTGCCGTACTGCGCCCAAGCCGAACCAACAACATACCTCCCGGATGAGTTCCTTCCTGACCTTCGTCTCGTTGTACAGGCTGGGGAGAACCGCGTTGAGTAAATCTCGGATTAAAGAAGGTTTGTTGTGAGCAGCAGAATTAAACATGGCTAAAGCCACGCGTCGAACATTCAGGTCTGGATCCTGCAGTGTTTTTAAGAAGTCACCTGTGGGATAAGAGCACACCAGTCAGTCCCGCTGCAGTGGTTAGAAGTGTTTTAAAAGTACATCACAATGTCTGTCCAGGAGCCTGGTTATGGCAGCACCATCCCCAAGGGCGCAGTCCAACAGAGACGTTAGAGATGCTTTCCCTCCTTTCATTTGGGACACAGTACATGGAAGAAACGTGAGTTTCCTGCATCTGGGTGTAAAACCAAACCACGTGATTCCAGCTACCTCATCCTAAAGTCAAATCAGAAGCTTTGGTATTCAAGGAAGTTGGGTTTTTTCTTGCTCAGATCTCATCTGCTCCGACTGCTCCAAACCAGAAGAGCCAGAGTTACACAGCAGATCTGAGATGTAGGCTCCCTACACATAAGACCCTTTTAACGTAGGTTATATTTTACAAGATCCTTGTCGGGAGATGCTTGAATTGTAAATTCAAAAGCAGAAGGAACTTATGCTCCCTAAAAACCTGTCAGCAGTGGAAAATGCCCAAGAGCAAAGAGCATTTAACACGGACTCAAAGGACAGTGTTGCTCTTTAATCCCACGAGCAGAGAAACAGATAAAAGCTAACTGGATGAGATGAGGTTCAGACAGGTGTGAAACATCCCCGAGCTGCTAATGACGCCCGACACCTCGTGTTCCCAGCTCTCGCTGCTGTTTGCGCCAGCCTACCTATGCAGCCTTGCAGGAGAGCATCGATGGGCTGAGGCTGGTCTGCAATCGTGAATTTGACGGCAGTCACCACTGTGCTCCGGGCGTGTGGAGAGCCTGCGATGGAGATGGAAAGAAAAAACAGTGGAAAATGAAGAGACAAAATCATTGCTGTAATTTTGAAGTGCATGCTCTGCTCTTGGTCACATCACATACACACTGAAGAGAGCAGAAGATTTGTCTGAACAACCTCATTTAAATCCTGCCCCAGCACAGCCTCCACATGCAGTCCCTGTTCCTACCACCCCCCTGCACCCCGTGCTCCTCCGCTCCCCCCGTGCAGAGATCCCTCGTTTCCCTCTCTCCTCTGCAGACTGGCTTTGCTGCCTCTTGAACAGCAGCTTCCTCGAGCACCTTCCAGCCAAGCAAGGCACCTCCCCGCTCTCGCCGCTGCCCTCCGTTACCTGACGGCAGCTGTTTCTTCAGCCGGGGCAGCAGCTCCGCGGGATTCACCAAGGTCAGCTTCCCCAAGCACTCAGCCACCACGTTGCGCGTCCCCTCCTCCGTGCACTCGCAGTGCTTGAAGAGCAGAGCCCAGATATCCTCCACGTACGGTTTGAGGCTGTCGGCCGGGGAGGAGCTGATGACTTCCTTGAGCGAGTGCAGCAGGAGGTACTGCCTCTTGGGCTGGCTCCCGATCTCCTTCAGCATGAAGGGAAGATACTCCCTAAGGTTCCCAACGCTGATGTTCCCCAGCGCGTAGGAAGCGGCGGATTTCACCTCTTCGCTGGGGGAAGTGAATGCTTCCAGGATGACGGTTTTGAGCTCCCTCTGAGCGCTGAGGTTCGTGGTGCGCCCCATCTCTGCCAGCGAGAGGAAAGCCAGCACCTGAACCGCGCAGCTGGAGTTGGGGTTTTTCCCATCCTGGATAAAGCGGTTCACTGTCGCAGCGGCTTCCTTTGGGCAGGCTGAGGACAGCGCTGCCACGCACTTTGCTACAGAGTGATACGCCTGTTTGTGCAGTGGCACTGACGCCCCAGCTGAACCCGAGGAGTAAATAGGGGCTGTTAGCTGCTTCATCAGCTCCGAGTGACCCACAGCGGCTGTCTTCGTCAGAACCAGAGCCTGGAAGAAGTCGATGATTGCATTCAGAGCCCCTCCTTGAAGCAAGGGCGAGTGGACAAGCTGAAGGATTTCAGCAAGAACCGAACCGCTGATCTTAGAGATAGAGGATGGATAAACCTTGGCTAGTGTAGTCAGGAACACGATAGCCACCTGGGAAACGTGCATGTCGTTCTCCGTGATTAAAGCGGGGAGCTCTGTTAGGACAGAGTCTATCATGGCAGGCTTGAGGCTGTCGCTGTAGTTCCTCACCAGGATGTCCAGAGCAGTCAGAGTGCTCAGCTTCAAGGCACGTTGGTTCTTTCTCAAGAAGGAAGCTAGAATGG